AGTTATATATAGTTATATATAGTTATATATAGTTATATATAGTTATATATAGTTATATATAGTTATATATAGTTATATATAGTTATATATAGTTATATATAGTTATATATAGTTATATATAGCTATATACAGTTTTAGATAGTTATATATAGCTATATGTGGGATGTAATGGTTTATAACTAATCAACTATAGTGATATGAGTTCTATCCGCCATATTGGTATGGTATGTACCCCCAAATATTGATAAGAAAAGAACATCGTTTACTGTACGTTTTTCCCTTCAACCAACTCAATGAACCTTGTATCCAAAAGTCCCCACTTCGTAACCGGTCAATAGCAACCTCTGAACGATGCTCGAAACCACTTAAATTTGGGTGATTTGATACTCATAGTATGTAGTTCTTTTGCGGGATTTGTTTTAATTTCAGATCGGGACAATCAATTATATATATATATACACATTAAAAATCAGGCATGTATATATATATATATATGTACCGTTAAACAAAAACAGGCTACGTTGAACATATGTGCATAATCTCTTTGTCATGGTCTTTTTTCGATATCGATGTTTAGCAGTTGATCCTCGTCGCAGCCTGGATCCCAGGTTGGCAGGTGGTCTCATTGACACCAGTGGCACCATGTCAGGAGGTGGTGGCAAGGTGGCCAGTGGTGGCATGAGGCCCGGGCGCTGGGGATGGGTTTCCCAGGGTTTTTTGTTGCAGATTTTGTTGACCTTCGGTTGGGTTATTGAGAGCGGATTCTCAGCTTAAATCCATATATATATATATATCCATATATATATATATCCACATATATATATAGTAAATATACACGTAATCAGGAGCTATGGCTAGAGTTATTGTGGTCAAGCCATTACAAGAGCTGCCATGTTTCCCATTGAATGGTTTGATCCAATGACGACGCAATTTAAATTGTTTTTTGTATTTAAGCACTTGCAACCAATCCCTATGTTCAAATAAACAATCTTTTTTTTACTGTAGCCTATATATGACATAGCGATTTTAAAATTATCATATGTTTTTTTTTGCTGTGAAAACATCAGATTAAATGACAAATATGTTTCACTGTATTGAAACAACCAAGCAGTGTATTTTTTTTGTGATTTTTTGCGGTAGAATCCGCCTAACCTTTGGGGTATATAGATCCGACTCACCTCAATTCCAATGAGAAACGCGGAAGAGTTCCTCACATTCTCCCAAAGTTGTGGAACAACAATACTGTGGTAAAGCCGATCATAGACTATTCTAATTAAACCACCCCAAGATTATCAATAAATAGTTGGTAAAAACATCTAAAGACCATCCCCAACTGGTCGGAGTATTGACCTCTGGTAAAGTTTTACATAACTATGGAAAGATCCACCATAATGAGTAAATCCACTATTTCTATGGGCCATTTTCAATAGCTATTTTGAAATAACCAGAGGCTACTGTCTTGGGGTAAAACCCACATGATTCTCATCCCCAAAAAACTGTCGAATGCTCCAGGGCGTCCTCTCGCTATTCGCAAGAGGAGGTGAAAAAGTTGTTGCAGGCGCAACGGAGCAGTTGGCGCAGGTGTGGTTGGTGGTTGACACTTATAATTATTGGAACCATAACTGGTTGGTGCTTTGGAACATGTTTTTTTCATATATTGGGAATAGTAACCCCAACTGACTAATATTTTTCAGAGGGGTTGAAACCACCAACCAGATACTTGTGGTTTGTTGGAAAAAAAAACATCATCAGTTGGTGGTTTGTTGAACAGAGTTTCTTGGAAAACATCATTTGTCACTCATGATTCTTCTAGCCGGTACTGTAAACGTTGCTGGAACATCCCGGAAGTAATGGAGGTATATAGCTGGGGAAATCCATCTATATTTATTATTTGGGATGATGGTCCCCTATATGAGACATATTGATCAACGAATTTACTCGATGGGTTGACACCGCTCAGTGCCTGGAAGCGATGGTTTTGACGATGGAAAGCCCAACTTCCATGTCCATTAGACATATGGGGGTTTCCATAAATGGGGGTACCCCAGTAGCTGGATGGTTTATAATGGAAATTATATCTATAAATGGGTGATTTGGGAGCACCCCCATTTTAGGAAACCTCCATATTCTTTTGGGAAGAATGCCCTCTTTTGCAGAACTTCACAGCTCAACGCTTATCCCATTAGTGGTGCTGATTGATGACAGTCCCCCATGAATGGTGTTGTTGCAGAAACCCAGCAACGATTCTTGAGCAACTTGCGGCTTACTCGGCTTATTTGTTTTGTACAATGACTGATGCTTTCCAACTTGGAAACGGATATACCTCTAGGGCCTTTTACTTTCCGAACCAGACCGTTTGGTGACCATTTTTCTGGCTGTTTGGTGGTAAGCCTTCAAAGGTGATCAAAGATGCTGCATGTCTCCCTTTGTGTGGTTTCATATGGAAATGTTGTATTGGTTTGATGTTTTTTTGTTTTGATTGTGTGTTCCTCCTGTAGACTATTATATTATATTGACTATCACATACCACTTAAATGGTTGGACAAAAAAGAAGCCAATATTACGTAGGTTTAGGCTATTTTCAAGTTTTTTTAAGCAACAACTAAGTTGGTTTAAAACCACTCAAGCATGGAGTTGACGGTAAAGATATGACTGATTATATATATATATAATGAGTTATAATGGGTTTTATACATGTTTATACAGCAACAAACATAAGCCTTCGGGGGCTCGCCGTATAATAATCATTACTTATGGTTGATATTTTTTGATAATAGTAATCAAACTATATCTAAAATGGTGATATTATATCATTATTCAACCATAAGTAATAACATTAACCATATATAACTAATCATTTATAATAATGATAAGGGTGATGAATCTAACCAGGCCTTCGAAGAGGCCAACGGCCGACTCCTGGCGATTCGTCAGGAGCGCGAGGCGTGGGTTTTGTCGGTGCTGGTGGATGTTGGTGAGCCAATAAAAGGGGGGGAACATGTTGAGATAAACATTGGGGTTCAATAATGTTCAATATATGGTTTCCTATGAGTGTTATTGATGATGTACGTTGATCTTTATGATATGATTTTGACGAATCACCGAAAATGATGATGGGTTAACCCATAGAACATCTGGGTAAACCGGTGAAGTTGGTGGTTTCAAACTTCCAGCTTTGGCCATTTTGATGGGGTGGGCAAGGCATGCAAAATTTGTCATGGTCCTTTTCGAGGTATCATCAGCCCGTCTCTGCTAACTGATAAAAACATATCCCATTTGAACCCTGCCAGATCCATGGAAAAAAACTGGTCCCTGATCCAAATATGTCATGAGAAGGGAGGTGATTTCGGGTATGGAGCCCATTTCAGCTGCGGATGGCCGAACCAGGCCCTTGAGGAAGCCTTGCGACAGACGGACAAAGAGATCTCAGAGCTGGAGCTGAAAGAGCAGTCGCCTGGACGTAAATCCGACTGGGAAAATGTGGGTCAACCGACTGACGTTAGATACGAGCTATAGTATCGTATGCTATAGTACTTTAAGTATCTTTAAGTACTTTATATTTTTTGTTGCATGGTAACATGTATTATATAACTAGCTAAACACATTATAGATTTTTTGACAGGTATCTAAGATCCACCACGGGAAAATGGGCTGTTGTTCAGCCAGAACGTTGGGAATTTGAGGCAAAATCCTTTCGAAAAATTTCGAAAATGGTGTGTTCAGCAACCAATTTATGGGAATTTGACCGGAATTTGACCATGAAGCGATACGGGACTTCACCCATGAATAATATGGATATGGATTGGTCATGGTTGGTCCTCTAATGGGGGAACATGTTGATGAACGACTGGGTCTTGGGCTACCCTATTCTTGGACACACCCATATGATCCCATATGGTATGGTTGCACTATCCGCACATGTCCCCACACTTTTTATACACTATATGTGTATTATCCATTGTATGGTTTCAGTTTCACGCCGAGCGCAGTCTAACCAACCCTTCGGAGCTCACAGAAGAAGAAGAAGAAGAAGAAGAATTGTATGGTTTGAGTACACTATGATTTAATGAGGTTCAACCATGTTGGCGGATCTCAATTTGTTTTAACCGTTTACACCATAAATGGGGGCACATACCATAGCAATGATAGATGGGAATAAGTACGATGGGAATGGAATCAGATACGGATAGTTGGATATACTCGCTTAAAGCACATGGTAAGGGGTGGGTGAAAATGGGGTTTTGCTTTGGTGATAGACAGGAGAAAATACCCAGCTGGAAGATATTTCCAATGGTCCAATGTTCCCAGAGATTTCAGCTGTGCGTGTGGTTGTCACCCATCTACTTAATGTGTGGTTTACTTTTATTGGGCCTCATTTGTTGATGATCCGTTCTCAGAGTGGTTAGAGCAACCTTCTTTGGGGTGCTGATTGTCAAAACGTTTGGTTGTACATACCCTTTGGTAATTCAAAATACTGCGTGGAAAAATGGCCCATTCATAGATGATCTATCTTTCTATTACCAGTGGTGACTTTCGATAGCTATGATAGTTGAACATCAAGGTCTTGGGTCAGCACCGACATCCACCACCTGACCCACCCTGCGACGGCTGAGGAAATGTGCCATGGACGTCAATGCCCTCAAGAAGCAGGCTGAGGTGTGGTCAAATTGCACCGTTGTTGGTTTCTTCTAAGCCACGCAAAAGAATACACAACAAGGTGGACCCCCCAGTTGTGTTTCATTGTGTTATGATTGTGTTTGTTGGTTTAAAAACCCACTAGATTAATGTTTCATTATTGATATATATATATATATATTAATATGTATATATACACCATAGATCTATACAAATCCTAAGGTTTTAAGTTACCAACTTAGCCTTTGGGGCTCCCACCATGTCTCACCGTGGATTGGTTGGGGTGTAGGCACAGACGGCGTGGGACCTGATGGGAATTGGATTGGAGGAACTTTTTTCCCCACCTGCCAGGTGAGGGTTGTTAGATTTTATGTCAGTTGCCTGGTCCTCCTCCTCCTCGTCCTCCTCCTCCTCCTCGTCGTCCTCCTCCTCGTCCTCCTCGTCCAACTGCGACCCGCGATCCACAGTGTTCTCTGTCGGACCTCAACCACGACCATCCATGCTCAGTGTTCCCTGCCGGACCTCAACCACGACCATCCACGCCAGTGTTCCCTGCCGGACCTCAACCACGACCATCACCGCCAGTGTTCCCTGCCGGACCTCAACCGCGGCTATCCCCGCCCAGTGTTCCCTGCCGGACCTCAACCACGACCATCCACGCCTAGTGTTCCCTGCCGGACCTCAACCGCGAGTATCCACGCCAAGTGTTCCCTGCCGGACCTCATGTCGGAAGATATGGGACAAAGAATGTGCAGAAGAAAGTTAGAAAGAATGTCAGAAAGAATGTCAGAAGATATGCCAGAAGATATGCCAGATAGAATGCCAAATAGAATGCCAGATAGAATGCCAGATAGAATGCCAGAAGATATGCCAGAATATATGCCAGAAGATATGCCAGATAGAATGCCAGATAATATGCCAGAAGATATGCCAGATAGAATGCCAGATAGAATGCCAGAAGATTTGCCAGATAGAATGCCAGAAAATTTGCCAGAAGATATGCCAGATAGATATGCCAGAAGATATGCCAGAAGATATGCCAGAAGATTTGCCAGAAGATATGTCAGAATATATGCCAGAAGATATGTCAGATAGAATGCCAGAAGATATGTCAGAATATATGCCAGAAGATATGCCAGAAGATATGCCAGAAGATATGCCAGATAGAATGTCAGAAGATATGTCAGATAGAATGCCAGAAGATTTGCCAGTAAGAGAATGTATAAATGTCATGGTGGGGATCACACGAAGTAAAGTATTTTTTTTTGCGAAGTGGATTGGTTGGTTGAATTAAACCATGGCTATGTTAGTCATAACCAGAGGGTAAATCACCACTGGTTGGTGATTTCGAACATCTGGATTATTTTCCATGATATATGGGATAATCATCTCAACTAACGAACTCATATTTTTCAGAGGGGTAGGTATACCACCATCCAGTGTTTAATGGGGGTAAATCAATAGTAAAACACCCATTTTGGTCATGGTTTATACCATTTACAAAGATAGAAAGTTAAAATCCCAGCGAAATATTTATACATTTGGTTGAATTGTAGTGACCTCACTGTGACACTGTGACCTCACTGTGACCTCAATGTAACCTCACTGTGACGTCACTGGAATGATGGTTATATATGCGGAAATGTGGGGAAGTATCCCAATGGTCGCAATATAGCCTTAGTTCAAGTTAGTGAATTACTATTATTTTCCCAGAAAATAAATCATGTGTCTAAGTTTAAATGTGAAAAAACAGTGGTTACCTTCATTTATGTGGCATATATAATAATAATAATCATCATAATAATAGTAATCACCATCATCATCATCATCATCATCAGCATCATCGTCATCATCATCATCATCGTCATCATCATCATCATCATCATCATATGCATATATTTTTATTGTTACTTTAAACAAACCAGTTTGCAGTGCCCGTGTCACCGCCAGACCTATGACTCACGTCTGAAAGGGTTCGGGCGACCCAGGGGACGAGGGGACGACAGCAATCACAACAGGTCCTTTTTTAATGGAGATTCAACCATTCAACATAGCACAAAATGGTAGTTTAGGCATCTATAGTTGGTATATAATTACTATAATTTACTATTATATACTTGTAATATACCGCCGGTATATATGATATTATATGGTACTGCTATTATTATCTTCGTATTTCACCAACCAATTTATGGGTACTTAGCCATCAAACATGGCTGGGAAATCCGGGAACTCAACGGTGATGTTCCATTGCCATGTTTGATTCTTTGAACCAATGAATTGAGATATGGTTGTTCAAACATTTTAACAAGAAAACAAGAAGAACAGGAATTTCACATTCAATCATTGGATTGTACAAACCAATTTATGGGTTTCAACCAGCAAACTGGAATTTCATATGCTTTCACAATGATGTTGGTAGGGTGTTGTCTACAAAGGGGAATTTAACGAGGCAATTCATGGAGATTTAAACGTGGGATGAACCACTGAACAGTGGATATTTACTGCAAACAAACACACTCAACTAGCTGAAAACAAAGTTTGACCTAGCATTCAATCTCCTGTCCCAAGTCCGGCGAGGAATAAACTCAAGTTCATTGCCATTTTGCATGATCTTCAATGTCAAAATGACCAAAGTAGCTTGCTAGTATATGCTAGTATAGCATCCTACTATTTAACAGCAAGCAACTTGGACCTTTCCCGAATCTTCTCAGGATGAAGGTGCCCCAGCTGTCGGCGGATGAAAAATCCAAGATCAAACAGCCTGGAAGCTCTGCGCGGCAATTTTCGATGGACTTCCGGGGAACCAAAAATGGTGTTGGTACCTTAAAATTATGGGAACCCCTGAATCCGCAAATTTTGTCAGTTGACATCATGAAACTGGTCATTTTGGGCATATGCTTCATTTTCAAGCACACAAATGTCGTGAATTCATATGAATTCCCCCCGGCAAAAACTGAGGGGGGAAATCCCTGGGACTTGGAGAGATTTGTTTGCGATTTAGCCTAAACTGGGAATGCTATTTGATTTCAACAGTGACATGTTTGTTTTCATCTATTTTCCCATTAAACACCATTTGCAGAGGACGTCCCATTGCCACGTTTTGTCGCCGAGACGGGTAGCCATCGGCTTCCAACAGACCTCTGCTTCCATCGCCTTTGTTAGGCTCGAAAAGTTGATCGAGAGCCGATCAGATGAGCTGAAGAATATCATGGAAAAACACCAGGCCATGCCCTGAATGGCCCTTTTTGTGTTGCGACATGGCCGTCCCATGGATCGATGGATCAAATCAATGGGGAAATATATGGGAATATGACATCGGTCCATAGGCATAGGGATTCAACTGAAAGGAGCAGAACGATGACCTTAGACATGGCACAGATCTTTGGCATAAGTTTGAAATGGAGCAAGTCCTCACCTACATATATATGCATATATGTGCATGTATACAAACTATACATGTACACATAGATATTATATATAATATAGTATAATATATACTTATATTTATATGTATAAATATAAATATATGTATACACATGCAACATATTTTGTTCCTACGTTCCCTGTTGCCAGCTAAACACAAAACAAACAACTCAGCGGCCAGGCGGTCGAAGAAGAGGTCAGGGATTTGCACAACCAGCAGCTTGGCCGCAATAGGCAGGCAGCTGGTAAACAAGCCGGTACAGTGCCCCAATAATTACAAGCTTATTATACATGTTATATATATTTATATATACATATATAACGATACATATATATATATATATAAGTGGTACATATGATGTACTGTACATATATCACTAACTAGGCATGTTGGTGGTACCCCAGGTCGGCTAAGTTGATCTATTCGCCGAAGTATAACTAGATGTGAAATGGAGGTTATAAACCGACCTTATAACTCCCAGCAGTTGTGGAGATTTCCGGCTGAACTACTTGAGATTATAAGCAACAACTCCGGGTTTTCGGGTAAAGTTGACATAGCTATTGAAAATGGCCATTTATAGTGGATTTTCCCATTAAAGATGGTGATTTTTTCTGGGATGGGGCATGTTTTTCTCTTTTATCTAACATCGCCAGGTGGAGTTTCCCAGCCGCCGCCGTTTTTGACAAAATCGCCAGGATTATGAACCTGGGAGGCGACGAAATGAAGCAAGCGAAAGCCAAGTTGGAGGAACTGGGAAGTCCCTGGGGGCGCCATGGGCACCTGGGGGTTTGGAAAGATCTGGTTGGTGTCAAACATGACTGGATTATGTTCCATTTCATATATGGGATGTCATCCTTCCCATTCACGAACTCCATCATTTTTCAAGATGGTTGAAACCACCAACCAGTGATATTTGATGCCAATTTGATGAATAATTTGGAAAAATCCTGGGCATTCGCTTTTGGCGGTCCCGTTTCGAACAAAAATCTGGGATGATTGATGATGATGCGGACTTTCAGTTTTCGGCAGTCGCTAAGTATGCCATCGTCCTCCTACAGAAAAGTTCCCACTTAGTTATATAAGTTATAGGTTGGTTTAAAACCCCGTCAAATATTTATAATATTTGCAATAATCCTGGTGACGCAACTTATGAACTATGAACCAACTTAGCCAACGAACCGAGGCACTACCGACTGCAGACTTGCAATCTGACCTATTTGTGTTACAGTATTTGTGTTCCAGTCCTCAGTGGGAAACTCAAACTTTCCAGGAGTGTACCAAAAAGTGCGAAGACTTGCGAAGACAATGCAAAAAGGCATTGCTAGATGCTGACAACATGGCGACTGGCATCAAGTTGAGAAACCGCACAGCTGACGCCACAATTGCCTGCCAAAGCCCATGAAACATAGCATGGGAAAGGCAGCCGGGCAGCCCTAAAGTGGAGTTTATTCCATTAAATTATTATATTATTATCCCATTAATGTTAATATTATATATATATATATTAATGTTCATATTATCCAGTTGAGTTAATAATTAATGATTAATAATGATTATATTTATCCAATTGAAAAGGTTCAAACAGCCCAGTTGGTTGATGATCAGTTCAGGGCTATGGATCATGGGCTCATCGAGACATCGTTCGAATCGTACATCCATAAACAACACCGTGTCTCAAACAATCACAAGCTGAAGATCTGCGGGGTTTGCTACTTTTTCTTGATGCACATCCAGTTTTCAGTTTTCATTGGATTTGGATTGGTTTGAGGGAAAACATATTTCGATTTGTAGATAGTTGTACACGTAGCCACATGCTCTCCGTATGATGCTTGGCGTTTGTTTCACTCAGTGGCGTGGAAATCCCTATATTTCATGATATTTCGTGGTAAAGAAAAACATGGTTTACTGTAGATTTTCCCACGAACCAATCCACTGTTTTTTTTGTTTAAATCAGCCATGTTATACCCGGGATTCCCGGGCTGAACGTTGGTCTCCGAGGTGAAAAACTCTAAGAAGGCCATTGAAGAGGGTTGAAGTTGCTACCAGAGTGGGTGTGTCTTCAATTGGTGTGTACACGCAAAGATCGAATTTGAAGACTTCTTTCAGGAGAAAAAGATTTGCCCATCATGGATAAACATGGATTTTGGGGAAAATTGTATATATAGTCATATAGTATCTGGTTGGTGGTTTCAAACATTTGGTTTATTTTTTATAATATATGGGATGTCATCCTTCCCATTGACTAATATTTTTCAAGATGGTTTTTTAACCACCAACCAGGTATAGTATATATAGTCTCATCTTCAGACAGACAATTGGACAGACAGTTTGAGATGGTCGCCAAGAATCCGAGCCCAAAATTCCGTCAACGTTTATGTTTGTAACATATGGCATCCCAGAATAAATAAATGCTGTATCACAAAAAATGTTACAATTTATCTAGTGTCACTTAATTTTCTCATTTTATGATTATTATATTTGCGGTTAACCATGTTCAATTTATTTATGGAGCCATTTTCTGCTGTGAAACCAGGATCCTTCCATTTGTGCCCACCTCGTCGTCAGAATCAGGCGGAAGCTAATGCCAAACAGGCCAAAGAGGAGCACAAGGTGCTGGTGGTGTTTGGTGGTGTTTGTTGGTGTTTGGTGGTGTTTCGTGGTACATTTCCCGCAGGTGAAATTTGGCGTTTAAACATGCTTGGGGTATGGTTTATAATGGAAAATCAATCTATCAATGGATGATATGGGGGTACACCAATTTCAGGAAACCTCCAGGTGTTTTAAACAATAAACATGTTCAGATAGGGTAATGGGGATATTACCAACAAGATAATCGGGCTATATAAGCAACAATATGGAACGCTTCTGGAAAATACTTGGATATATATATATATATATCATCTGATAAGAATTGGGTTTGGCTCATCATTTTTTTGGCAATCACATTATCAATGACGATTTTCTGGGATATTGGGATGCCATGGGGATGTTTTCAAGGGATAAATAGGTTTATTCGCCATGTATTATTGGGGATGTAATTGGACTACCATCAATGGGGTCTTTATTTGTGATAAAACCAACAAGTTTTTTCATTTTTCTATAACTTTAACCAACCATGTATTTTATGAAAAAGCAAATTAGATATGTTTGGACATCATGAGATCTATAACCAAGCAAAGGACATGTGAACCGATTGTCATTTTATGGTGGTATTTTTTGGGATGTAGTCGGGGTTTTGATTGGTATTATCAGAAAGGGATACTTCCTCCAACAGATTCTCAGGATCAACCGACCTGAGTTGGACGCATGGAAAATGGATCAACTCACCGTGCGTATCTGAATGGAACCCCAACGTGCAGTACATTTGACAAGCATACAAGGCGGTGCCCCCTCAGTTCTAAGTTGGTTTGTAAGCCATCTAACTAGTTCCGTTGTATTTCCCATAAATTGAAGTTATTTCAACCAACTTGGCTTACATAGATCACCTATAAATCTCATGAATTCCCTCTATATAAATCACCTTCAAATCACATGCTTTTCAGGGGACTGACTCAACCACCTCAGGCAGCTGAGAAAGCCTTGAAGCGGCCTGGCAGCAACAGATGGTCCCTTTGAGGTACCTAAAAACCAGTTGTGATTTCACCATGAAAAATGTGATTTAAGGCAACAAAATTGCAAAATTAGAGATTGAACTAACAAAGATGATGATTCAATGGGATAGAATATGGAATATTATATGGGGATACTCTGTGGGAATCAGCCTCATGGCTGGAAAATATCGCGGTTGATATAGTTTGATGATGATTATCTCAGCTATAAAGCCTCTATTGAGTTCGGAGATTTCCCAGCCATATTTGATGATACGAAAGGGTACCGAGTCTGGCTTGAGCAATGTAACCATGCAAATGTTAAACACCCCCCAGAAATCGGGGTTTAATCGTGGATTTACACATAACTGGTTGGTGGTTTGGAACATTTTTTATTTTTCCATATATATATATATATATTGGGAATAATAATCCCAACTGACTTTCATATTTTTCAGAGGGGTAGGTCAACCACCAACCAGATAAGTAGCCCCATGGAATGGATGGTATATGGCATGACCATGGATGACCCATGGCCAACATTGGCACGTGGCGGATGAAACGTGGCGGCGCCGACATCTCAGGAAGTTGAAGGATGAACATGCGAAGTTGGACGACAAAGCGGAGGTTGTCCTCACTGAGTACAACAAATTGCAGCCTGGCGCATTCAGAACTGGTTGGTAGATGTAGATTCTACAATGTAGATGGATTCAGGTACTACCTGAAACAATGGGTTGACGAAACACCGGAATCAGCAAGCATTTCGTTGCTGCATCGAAACATGTGTGATTCTCCAACCCTGCGATGATGATCCGAGATTTCATATAGTTGAGATGGGTGCATGTGGCTCAAACACCAAGCGGAATCATATTATCATATTTATAATATAGCCATCTTAATTTAACATATCAGGAGCACATGAATGTTGTGAATCAGACATCCTTTGTCTATAGCCGGAATTCTTGCAGAAAATATAAGGTGTCACGACGGCATGTTGTCAGTTGTCACAGGATCTAATGATTGTGTTACTTGGCAAGCTCAACTAGGATTGTGTGATCTGCATTCTCACCACTATGCTCAGCTTCGGTAGAGACTTGTGAGTCCATAGCTATAGGGGCGCTGTTCTTCAGTCTTTGTGAGCACTTGTGACAAACGCCCAGGGTTTCAACTAGGTTATGTACATCCACTCATACATCCGTAATATGCATATATTGGACACCAAAACCACAAAATTATTTGGTGCGATCAACTATCATAGAGTGATTTGTTTGTTGCTTTGTCTTGGGGAACAATACGAAATCGTGGTCATTGTGAAATCCCTATGTTTGATGGTTAAATCATGTCAAATCAGCTAAAATCCCATAAATTGGGTGGTTAACTCATTTTTTTAAGGCATTAAACCCCATATAAATCATTATTCGTGACATCCCTAGAAATCCCAATGATTGATACGATGATGCTTACATTAAATCACCATTTTGTAGCCATCGGTGATGATAAACCAGCAATGCTGGTTAAATCACCAGTATCGTCGACATTGTTTAGCCATCAATTTTCATACCATTTTATAATTGCACGTATGTTTTTGTTTGTTTGTTTGTTTGTTTGTTGGTTGGTTGGTTGGTTGGTCGGTCGGTCGGTTGGTTGTTGTTGTTGTTGTCGTTTTGTCTGGTTGTTGTTGGTTGTTGTTTCTTGAATTCCACAATGTGCTCAATTCCTCAGCCCCTCCAGGAAGGACTCCCTAAGCGAGAAAGATGCCTTGCTCAACGACCTGCGCGAGCGACGCGACGAGGCCGTGCAAAATATGGGTTTTAACGTAGTTTAGCCATGTTTAGCCAAGAAACATGTGGGTTTATAGAGTTGATATTGATATGATATGAAATAATATGAGTAGACATGATTTGAAGAAGAATCGCATGCATTTAACTCCGGACATCTCCGGACAATGTGATGAGTTTCTTTGTTTCCAGCCTTTGGTTTCACCAATATGGCCCTCTCGGAAATCCTCATGAAACCAACCATGACAGGTCATTCAGAAGGCGAGTGCGCTCAAGAGCCAAGAAGTGGATCTGGTGAATGAGATGGAGGTCGTGTTTGATCCGGGATGACGTGGGAATATTGGGTGTGGATTGCGCCCTTTTTCGTAGAACTGTAGCAGTGTAATAGTAGATTTTGGGCCGAGTTGGGTGTTTCGACAGGCGGGATTCCCGAGTTGCTGTGGGAGGTTTTTCTTTACACTACAAGAACTCAATTTGATGGCGTTATGTCTTGCAAAGTGTTGAAAAAAAACTGTGTTTAAGCTGTCAAACAGCTTGCCATTTTTATATATATATATATACATAATTTGTTTCCTTGGACCTGTTTTGGCCTAAAACACTTGAATCAACTCTCACACTCACCAGCAGTGCAAGATGTCCATCACCAATTGTCATGCAAAAAATTGAACCCCGGCCTGTTGTCAGATGGGTATGGGTTGGAAATAGGGGACATGGATTCAATGAAAATAAAGAAAAATAGCAATATTCAGTATAAGACCATCTATTTTTGAGGTTGACATGTGTCTGACCCCATAGCCACGACGTGGGGGGTGATAGTAACTAGCAAAAAAAGAGGTGTTGAATCACCAGGAATGATGGTAGCACCCATGATCCCAAGTTTTTCTTAGTTGCACATATCCAGTTGTTATCCAGGAGGGAGTCCGTTGGGAAGATCCTGGGTTGGTCGGTTGTTGCCACTTGGTCTTTCAAGTGGATGACTACAATCTATTGATGATGATTAATGGGTATGATTAGAAGAAATGATTGGAATGGCATCCAACTGTCAGTTTTATAAATGTCAATAGTTCCCCGTTCATTTAATTGCTCTGAGGTAATCATCAGAATAGGAGTCAAGGGATAGTATTGGATCATTCAATGATATGATCATCCAATAATTTTATATGATATTTATACTTTCATGACGAAGCGCAGCAATGAAGTTAAACCTATTTCACTGGCTATACAACTATAACCCCATTATGAGTTCTAAACCCTTCTTCCATGAAGAGTAAACCATTACTTTCTTTCCATGTATATATATATACATACACATATACACATATAATATGTATGTTTCCTTAAATGGGGGTACCCGCAAAGCATCCCAAATTAGACCATTTTGGTTTTGAAAACCATGGCTTTGGCCATCCCTCATTTTAAGAACTCCCCATATTTCGGTTTACCTCCATTCTATTCGTGGATGTTCCTATACTTTCCCATGATTTCCCCATTTTAAGACATCACCATTGATTAAAATGTCATCTATACATATTATATCATATTATATATACATACATACATCCCACTCTTATATAGTCTACAACTTTAACAGCTTTCCCTATAGGACGAGGTCTTTCGCTGTCGTTTTCCAGGTGAAGACTCGAACTCTCCGGGAGTTGCACGGTCGCATCGCGGCCTGGACCAACAAGCTGCAGGTGGGGGATACCCCCAAATCATCCAACATTTTGTACTGAAACCTATGGTGACTTTGGGATCCATGATTTTAGGAAACCCCCATTGATGGCTTTGATTTAGGTACAGATGATGTGTGTGTGTGTGTTTCTGCGTGTTATTGTGTCTTTTTTTACGGACAAAGTACGGACAAACTATCTCTATATAGATAGATAGATAGATAGATAGATAGATAGATAGATAGATAGATAGATAGATAGATGATAGATAGATAGATAGATAGATAGATAGATAGATAGATAGCTAGATAGATAGATAGATAGATAATGCATCTGATTTTATATACATATGGGGATAGATATATGCAATTCGAAACTATAAATGTATCACAAAACTACAGGAATGTCACCAATCATGTGGTTCTTGGTTTCAAGTATTTGGCATGTTCCAACCCTGTCTTGGGAGAGTGATTCACAGTTGACCATATTAATATGATTCATGAATTGTTACATTGATTTTTGCGGATGAGTCAAAATCATGAAGAGCAGCGAGCCGGTTGTGCCAGGAGGCAAGGAAAGACTATGCGCAACTGCCTTTGGATTTCCTGAAAGAGCTGAGGGAACAAGAAGCTTCTGTCTCCAAATTGGAGGTGCGATCCCTTTTTGTGGTGATCGGATGATTGGATGCTCACAGTCCGTCATGTTCATCGCCCATTGCTAAGCAGAAATCATCGAAATCCACAGTTGTATCCCTTCTTTAGCTTCTCAAATTGTTGACTTTGCTCTGCTTTGAGTTGCTGTTGTCTTCATCATCTTTGAGCTGCAAAAATTTACTGTATGACAGTCTCACCCGAAGTCCGCAATTCAGGTTTGTAAACAGTTAGTTGCGCAGATGATTGAATACTCAAATTTGGTTTTAATTCCACTACTTTATTTGAGCTCTCTGGTTTTTAGTAACTCGCCCAGATGCAATATCTAAACACATCTAAAACCAGTTTCCTGGTGAATGCTCGACAAAGTCCATGTGATGATCCACCATTCGGATTTGGATGTCTTTGGTCTTCCTGGTTGGTTACACCTCTTCTGTTCTAAAGTGGTAGTGGTTGCCTATGCCAGTGGGAACACTTGCAAGTCCCCCTATGGTTTCTTGAAGATTTCCCTTAGATCAATCCATTGAAACTAATCAGCAGGTATTACATATATATATACACATTATATATAATTAATAATAACAAACAACCATACATAGATACATAGATATGTAATAGTCTGAAACATCTATATTATATTATCACACTTATAGGTACATATATATTATAATACACATATAATGATACATATAGATATTTTTCTTTATAAATTGGCATGTGATTTCCCTTCGTCAGGAGATGTCCAGGAAAGCCATCACGGTGGAACTTTCAGAGAAGGAGCTGAACAAGGCCCGGCCCGAATTTCCGAGGTCGGCGGAGCTAAGGTTTTCACGTCACAGGATTCAAAGGGGGCATTTGACGTGGGAAATTCCCATGAGAAAATGAGGTTTTGATGGTTTTAATATGTTTTAATGGGAGAATCATCAAACCAAATTAGGGAATATGGTGATTTAACCATCAAAAGTCGGGATTTAACATTATTTGGCCAAGAGACATTGTAGTTCAATGGGATATATATTGATATAACTGTATATTATGGGGATACGCTGGAAATCAAACGCTGGAAATCCCCGAATTAAAAATGGAGGTTCACAACTGGGACAATTATGAAACGCAGGACAAACAAATATATATATATATACATAGTTGGTTGGTGGTTTCAACTCTGATTTAACTGTGTTTTCAAGGTATTGATTTGGTGATTTTCCATGTTTTGTTCATCAACTGGTTTTTTTCGCCATCATGGGTGGTTTTCAAATCTATAGAGATGATGGTCCCCAAAGAGTTGGTGGTTCCATACTCTTCAGCGGGGTTGCTCAATCACCAACTAGGAACATGGGAAAGATCCACCATTTTTCATGGGAAAATCCACTATTTCTATGGCCATTTTCCATTGCTATGTTAGTTCACCAGAGGGTAAGTTTTTGTTGGCATCTTTTGGCCATGGCCCCTTCGATTTTCATGGGTAAAGATTCGATTACCTTGAGGGATCCACTGATCCATGGCTGTACTCGGGGAGGTGGGAGAACTCCCCCAGGCCCCGAATCAGATTTCGCCACGGGAGCAGGATGGAACATGGTTGCTGTCAGGAAGCAAACATAGTTTCATTTTGTTTTCAATGAATCTGTGAAATCATGTTGATGGACATGATGGACAGTGTAGTTGTCTCGGAAACGGGAGTTTTTAGTGCAATCGATCATACATGATCGGTGTAGTTGATGCACAAACTTGGCAATAGCAACCGTTCAACTGTTCAGGAATGACGGAATGACAACAAGTTTCAAGCGGGAAGTCCAAGGTCCACTCGAATCTCTAAATCCCAACTGGAGTCATCTGCACCACGCCACGGACATCCACGGACCAGGTGTCTGCTGAGGATGTTGAGGAAAGGATGACAGGCTTGGAAGCCAACATCAAGAACCTGAAGCCCAACCTGGGTGCCATCGAGGCACCTGGGTGACAGCCGAAATCGCAGCCGGGGGAGTGGAACATCAGAAAAGATTGGCTCGATAGATCTAAATACAAGTACCCTCTGGTAATTTATGGTAATTTAACATAACTATTGAAAATCACATTTTGTTTCCCATTTTTAATGGGTAAATCAACTATAAATGGCAATTTTCAATAGTTATGTTAATTTACCAGAGGGTAAATCTAAATAGATCCAAATAGATTTAAATAGTTGGACTACTATCAGTAGTCCGGGCAACATGTGATGATGACAGCTGCAATTTTGACCTACACCGCAGATTGGATTGCAAGATTTTGACGGAAAATGAAGTGACTTCATGGTTTTTTGTGTGAAAGGATTGTTTTTTTCAGGTACCCCTGGAAACAGAACTTGTTCCTGTGGCTGTCATTTGTACGTTTGATGCTCGATTTTGTGGGTCTAGTCATACACGTTCGCTGCGATTTGGGTTTGTCTGAAAATGTGGTACCCCCAAATCCCATGGTTGTACATTTTATATAAAGTGGCGCAGACACACTGTTTTGTTCCATCATTTTCAGACAAAATTAAATATCATATTGTAACATATTGTTCCTTACATATCCGATGATATCGTCATATAATGATGGGTCATAATCCCCCCCATAACTTCGTTGTTTACATTCCCTTTCTTTTTTTAACCCAAAAAAATGATGGTGAATTCATCTTAAATTTCTAATTTCTATGGTTAAAAACACATTTTTCGCTGGTGAATCCATCATTTTGAGACAAGCCACCTGGTCACGTCGCTGGTCTTGGAGGAATTCCGTCGCGCGGACGGCGAGCATCGGACGCGCCTGGCGGAGTATGAACAGGTCCACAATGACCGCGAGGAGATGAGGGGTGACAAACCGCGATGGAAGTTGGCCGAATGGGAGGTCTCGTAGAGTTATGGCCCAACTAACAGATACTGGTTGGTGGTTTGGAACATGAATTTTATTTTTCCATATATTGGGAGTAGTAACCCCAACCGACTAATATTTTTTCAGAGGGGTTGAAACCACCAAGTAGGATATAAGAGGGATTATAATGATATATGACCATATGTGACCTTAGCTATTATGACTTAAGATTTTCTGTGGGTAAAACAATGCCATGTTTACATATTTTTACCACCCATGACTAATGGGATTTCCAGACCACCTATCAAAATCATGATGACTGGGGAATGGTTTATATGCTTGTTTTACCCACATCATAAGTCATGGAGCTACCCCAAATTGTCCCAGTTCTCCAAGTCATGGAGTACCCTGAGTTTCAAAGAAGCCCCCAAATGGTTGTGTCTGAAAACGGGGATATATATATAATATATATATATACACAAATGGATACGTGGCCATTTCAACAGGGAAGATGGATGAACATGTTGACGAACCATCGTCGGGATAGCCTATTTTCAGACAACCCCAAATGGATTGATCTATCCATCCATCCATGTGATTTGACTCGAACTTGGTAGTTATATATCCCATGAAATGTTCATCGATATTGGCAGATCCAAAATGCCATTCAGTGACGCATTCTGCTACGGGTACGATACCAGTTCTTTGAAGTATCCCAGTTATTCCCAGTTGCCCTCTGGCATTTTAATATAGTATTGGAAAAGAAATAGCCATGTGTAGATGATTCGCAAATGGAACATGGGAATGTTTTAGATTAGCAGAGGGTATGTTGTTATATTTGGGGCTGTACTAGTTTCAATGAAGCTAAGAAGACCTAACTTTGATGATACAGATCCTCCACCTGGATCCAAGTGTGGCACCGTATGTTTTTCTTCAGGTCCCTGGCTTGAAGTGGAAGATGAGCCCTTGCAAAATAGATGACTAGCTATGAATAGCTAAGACTTGTTATGTTTACTCTTTCTGACAGAGAGGATTTGGGTACCCAAGTCAGGATGCTGGGACACCAAGCAAATTGGGATATCCAGAATGTTGAGATAACCCATACATGAGCGATGCCACAGTTTCTTTGCATCTCAAAGCATTCACTTCTCGTACTTCTGGAAAAATGGGTGGACCTCAACAGCAGCCCAGTTATACAGATATTATTAATTATACAGGGAAACCATGGGAAACCTCTGTGGTCCTGTGGTCCCCCATTTTTGTTGAACCGAAGGATGCCCGGAGGAAGTTGGAACAACTTCGGCAGCAAAGGACAGTTGGACGTTGCTGGCGTGGTTCTGAATACGCATAAGATGGATTTAAGTAAAACCCTACTAAAATAGTGGCTTGTTTTTTAAATGATGTTTTGGAGATATTTTTCAAAAAAGGACATCAACCATAATAATATTTCGGATGACAACTGCCAATGACTAACGTGCTTGGTATTGTTTGATACCACCAAGCAGTTTGTAAACTTATTTAGTAGCCGGTTGGTGGTTTGGAACATTTTTTATTTTTCCATATATATTGGGAATAGTAACCCCAACTGACTATTATTTTTTCAGAGAGGTTGAAACCACCAACCAGGTAGTAACAATAACAAGTGTACTTGTGTTTTTGTTTCTCAGTGAGACGATCGTCAGGATATGTGTGATGCTGATGTACCAACTGATTAGTCCTTCTCAGGCGTCGAGCTAAAGGACTCGCCCAAGCGAAGTTGATCCAGCTTTCAAAAGATCGTTTATCTTTGGGGAATGCTGAAAACAAATGGGAACTAAAGATTTTAAAGCGACTAGTTTGGGGTATTGGACTTATTGGACCCAGTAAAGTGGCCACGTTAGTGCTTTTCTTCTTCTTGCAACACTGTTCCCTCAGATTTATCATTTCAATGCAGAGTTGTTCACCCAGTTTGTCTTTCAAAACTTGAAGAATCACATTCAACAGTTTTTACCTAAAAGTGCTGTGGAGTTTACCATTGATTTTCAGGAGCTTTCCTTATTTTCAACCTCAAGCGGCACCCTCCAGTCAACTCACAAGATATGGAGCATCCAAATGAAAGTAAATCATGGCTTCTCAAGTCTATGTTGAATTACTTTTAGATGGTGGATTTTCATGATATGTATCTTACCATTTTGCCGAGTTAACATGGTGTTTGTTTTTTTTTTCAGATGGTAAACGGCATTCCAAGGGATTTCCATACATATAATTTGTTTGTTTCCTCAGATGTTTCTTTTTCAGCATTTTCAGCAGTTTTTCGAAATCATGTTGTGACATAATGATAATAACAATAATAACAACAATAATAATAATAATAATAATAAGTGTTTGCATAGATTGTTGTATTCCCATGGATTTTCTACATATTTTCCACATGTGCCATGGTCAAAACATGGGTAGCCTCAAGGCTCAAGCTGCCACGTAGCGAGGTAGGAGGGTGGTGCCCTACCGATTGAGCCATTGAATTCTCACATGGACCTTTGACCCAGGTCGTGAAGTACATCTGTCCATCTCCGACCGTGTGCCCTTGCCACTACCGGGTTTCTTCTATCTTGACGGATTTGACTGTGGTCTCAATGAGTGTCTTACTTGTTGTCTTGGCTTGCTGTGTTGACTCTTGCCATTCCCTGGCGAGAGATGGAGTTCAGTCGCTTAGCTTGACACATGGGCGTTGCCCACATGAGATTGCCGATAGATACTCGTTGAAGATCTCCCTTGATCAGTGGACTCGTGCAGTTGATCTGACTGGCCTTCAGGTGGTTGCTTTGGGATCTTCAGAGGTTCTGTTGTCTGACCCCGTGGATGCTTCTCACCTCTTGGTGAAATCTCAGTTCCGTAGCTTTGGACTGACGTCAGGTTGCTGTCCACATGACATCGCAGATAGTTACCTCTTGAAGATGGCACCTGAACTATGAAGTGGATTGACATCCGTTGTTTGCTTGCAGACATTTGTCCTTGCCAAGTGTTTTGATGTTTCGGCAGATGGTGGAGGTGTTATACTAACACCTGAATGCGGGAACCCAAACCTCTATGGCATGGTGTGTGTCGTTGAAGTGCTTTGCGGCGGAAGCTCTGGATGGGCTCATGTCACTCGTTTTCTGCAGTGCCCTGAATTGCCAGTGACTTCAGCTTTTGCCTTGGACTTGAGTCATCAGTGTGTTCTTGCCTGCCAGCGCACCGAGTGCGTCACTTGTAGGTTCTGGCTTGTCAGTTTGACTTGAATGATGATGATTGCATGCCACCCGAGCTTGTCATTGAATCAGAAGTCGTGACCGCACTGTGCATAAGTTTGTCAGAGAACGGAACGCCCTCAGTTGTACCGACGGTCGGATGCCTGCACTTTGTGCTGGTGTTTCCTTGTCTTGATTTGCTTGCAGTTGTTGCTTGCTTGAATTAGTTATCCAGTTGACCGTGGTTCTCGTTGTACGGTCTTCCAAGATATTTAATTTTTGAAGCAGCTCTGACGACACGGCTGTTTCTGTATATTGTATGCCACTTTTTTTTTCACTCGGCAAGGGTCAAGCGCGCGATGTGGTCTGTCAACTGCTATCCTTTGTGTGACATTTCCCTGGCATACGGCCAGTACATTGCCATTTTCCGTTCATCCCCATCCTTGCACCTCGTACCCCCCTTAACCGGGAAGGGGTGTTGGTGCCGCAACTTCGCTCGCGCAGGATTCCGTCAAAACACGGGTTGTTTTCCCACATTGGGGATGGCCATCAATCCATTTTGACAGGGGCTCTCTTTTTTTCAATGGCCATTAAGCTTGGATAATGTCCTACCCCCACGGCGTGGGATGGATGACCATCAAGCATTAATCACATGTAACTTTACCATGGCACACATCACATTGATTCATGTTGTTGGTTAGACATTTATTTCATAAAATACAGCATTATTTTCTCACATGTTTTGAGCCGTATAATTTTAAAACCCCATGACTTTGACCATACAACCATCCATAGCATATATAGCATCTAGAATGACCCTGGCATATCTATGTCCATTTCTTGTTTGCATTGTCGTAAGAATCATAGCATATCATAACTGCATAGATCATAGATGTTTGGATTGTGGTTATTTTCCATATATATATACATTTCTATATGTTTTCCATACGTTTTCCATGTGTTTTCCATGGGACAACTGGCCCATGGCCGCCCAGGATGAAGGAGTTCATGGAAGGCTTCTCCGTGATCTCCATGAAACTGAAGGACGTGGGGAATTACCAGGAAAAATGTTGCGATCATGTTGATATACCGTTTTTGTTTTGCCATATAACAAAAACCACTTAGGTGGTAAACATATGTAGACATTTGTTTTCTGATGTTCAAACATAGAAATGGGATGATGATCCCAATACCTTAGGTGGGAGAGTGATTGACACAACATTGACATTCAATCATGTCTGTAACCAAAATTGTTCAACCAACAAAAATGGTTATATAAATCATATTGAACGACAATAAAGGGAATGGTCATATGTGGTAATATAGCAACCAATGAATCTGAATGGGCGTGTCCTAAGTCCGAAGTCCTAAGTCATATGGGGCATCGCAAAAGTTTCCAATTGTCATCCTTCAAATCTTGGAGATGATCCCAATTGACTACCCTATCTGAAATGTTTGGGATGATCCCAGTTGCCTTTCTCACTGTCCCATTCCTTACAACAGCAGAACTGGATGATGAACCTGTGCCCTTTCCGGATGATTGTTCCTTAAATCATCCTATTCCCTACCATGGCTCACTTGCAACCCTGAGTGGTCAAGCTCTATGCAATCACGCAATATTTTAGCACGATTTGAATGATGAGTGTGTTTTGGACGTTGGCCTGCATAGAAACTCAAGAAACACCACGTGATTTTCTCATAGTTCACGCTTTACTTGCGCCTTGAAACATATCATTTCGCCGCAGCGTACGGGAGAAACTGTTTGGATCAAAGGCAGTTTGTTCCATGGACTTGTTGGGTTCAGATCTCGAAGGTGAACCCCTTATATCACCCTTTTTCAAGCCTCCCAACTTCCCAACCGAGCAAAGCAGAGGAGATGTACCAGATGATCACCTTGGGAGGTGACGCTGAACTCGAACTCGTCGCTTGCAGAAAAATAAAAATCGAATTTTGCATAGGACTGCATGGTTCCAGATGGAATTAAGGTCGGTAATACAAGAGGATGCAGTAGCATCTGCACAAAACCATAACATGCCAGAACTAATTTCCAGTCGACCTTCGACAACTCGGAAGCCGTTTGGCAACTTCATTGCTGTGCCACCACCACCATCATCATTCATCATTCATGAATCCTCAATCATAATTATGAATCATCATTCATCATCAGTCATCATCATCATCACGTCGTTGATCATGAAAAACCTGTGTTTTTAAGTCGTTCATTGGTGGTTCAGAAGCGTAGTAGGGTTGAGCAGTTTCAATCCATGGTTTTGTTGTCGACGACATTGTGATGTTCCATGAGGATTCTGGGGTCATCATCCCCGGTGATCCCCCATTGAAGTCCAAACAAAATTCCCCATGAAAATCTCCATTTAGGGTGGAGCTGTTCCCATCTAGAAGCCTCGATTTCTAGACATGTATAAACATGCTGTCCCCATATGTTCCAATGAAAACTTCCATTTCTAGACATGTGTCCCAATGTGTTCCCATGAAAACCTCCATCTATAGATTCCCCTATATTTTCCCATTAAAACCTGCACTGGTTGGTGGTTTGGAACATTTATTTTTCCATATATTGGGAATAATCATCCCAACTGACGAACTCATATTTTCAGAGGGGTAGGTCAACCACCAACCAGTACATTTCTAACGGACTGTCCCATATTTTTCCCCATTCTTCTCCCAGGTGGATACCTTGGACCCCTTCAACGAGGGCATTCACTTCAGCGTACGACCTCCCAAGAAGAGCCGGGGCTCCAAAGCCGGTGGTTTTTGCTGGATACCATGATGATATGATGGGGAATACTGTATGATGGGGATGCAATTGACATATTTTTTGTGTATCATATATATAGACACACTGTATGTACTTTTTGTTTGTCAATGTATGTGTGTGTGTGTATAGAGTGTATATGAATGCAGACATATGGAAAATAATGTCTGATCATTTTTAGAAACAACAATTGTATTGACACTGCGCGTAGGCTGCAAGGATTTGCAGACCTACCAAAGAAACAACTGGAATCCGGAAGCAATCAACCATAATCAACCATCATTTGCAGAAATTGTAGCGACCTCACAAAAGATGGATAGCAAGGTAAAGCAGTTCAAAATGGCGTTTGAAGTTGGTGAATTCCTATAATTTAATGCAGCCAGAATGATAAACCTCCAGTCAAAACTCCCTGGGTTAGAATGTATTTGTCTTGCACGTGTCCCATTCAGCGGAGGTTACTGTAATGGCTTGAGCTGGATTGGAGCAAAGGGGTCCTGAATGCTGAATGAGTCCGCTATTCCAGGGCTACAGCAACCCATGAGTAATTGTGTTACTATACATAAGCTTCCCAGTCAAAGGCAGGTTTTCTAGCTAGCCATGTTTGACGACACCGGAGGGCCGGGGGGTATACCCATGGTGATTCCCTTGTTGCTGACTACAACGCAATCTTCTAAGCGGGATAGGATTGGAGAGTTGATCCGGGCATGAGAATGCTGGGGAATAATCCGAGCTCCATCCAATGGTCAACCCTCCATTTTGTGGCTCAAACCCTTCCAAATCAGGATCATCTCTGGGTTCTTGGTTTTGAATACTCTCCCCTACATGCCAAGAAAATAACTATATAGGTTTAGATTTAAGTAATTACTGTAGTTCTTGGGGAAGCGTTTCTTCCCAACAAAAAGGACATATATGGGGGAAATGGGAGGAACTGGTTAGTGGTTTCAGCCTTGTGCAAAGGGCCCTATTTGGGCATCATGATCCTAGCTGACTTTCACATTTTCAGGGACGTGGCTCAACCCACAGATTCAATGTTTGCACACCAGAACTGAGGTCCCACATATCATGCCGTTGCTTATATAAACATGGTTGGTATGATTTACTGATGTCCCACGTATCATAACCAAACACCCATGTTAAATCTCCCCCATAACATGGTGTTTTTTTTTCCTTCCCGAAGTCCCTTTGTGGGGGCCCTGGCGCAGGTTGGAAGCAGATCACCAACCTGTCGGGTGGCGAAAAGACCTTGGCATCGCTGTCCTTGGTTTTCGCCTTGCACCACTACAGGCGAGCTTCGGTGAAGCTGCGTTCGATGGTTGTATGGCTTGGTTTGTATGGAGGTTTCCTGAAATAGGATAGCCCTAAATCATCCATTTATAGATGGATTTTCCACTATAAACTTACCACCATTTATGGAAACCCCCATATGAGCTGAAGCTAAGAGTGAAGCATAGTGAACCATCCAAAATATAGGGGTATAATGAATCATGGTATACCATAATGCAACAACTAGTAGGGTATGTTATAAATATTCAGATTAGATATGGTGGTTTCCATAAATGTGGGGGATCCCCAATAGCTGGTTGGTTTATAAGGGAAAATTCTATGAACATGGATTATTGGGGGTACCCCCCATCGCTTAGGAAACCTCAATATGAGATAAAGCTAAGAGTGAACCGTAGTGAAGCATTCCTTATATAATATCATGTGTATATATTATATATTATATATATACCTATATGTATCATATTCCAACAACTAATTCCAAGTTGGAAAGGTCTTATTGGACGACTCAGAAAGTCGCTGAAAAATGGATCTTCCGACACTGCAGACATCGGCTAAACAAAAAAATGATGTGCGAAATCCATGGTACCAGTGTGATGTGAACGCTATGATTCTGTGTGTGTGACATATATACATGTTTTGTCAACGCAAGCTTTCAGAGGAAACATATTGTATAACTTGTATAGAGTTTCTTTTATATGATGTGTATATTTTTGTACATACAACTTATATAATATTATTATTCGTATAACATTATTTATATAACTACCCTCTGGTAATTTAACATAGCTATGGAAAATCACTATTTTTTTATTGGAAAATCCACTATAAATGGCCATTTTCAATAGCTATGTTAGTTTACCAGAGGGTACATTAATGTGATCTTTTTGGAGTTTCCCGCTGTGCACTTAAGTTCTTTCTCCGAAGATCGACGTGAATGTGATCCATCCCTACCGCCCTAAGACGATCTCATACGATGTTGGTGTGCAACTCTAGGTTACCTATGGTTTATGGTGTATATAATATATATATATACACCATAAACCATAGGTATCAACTATTCTAACCCCTTGTCGCCCAAACTGAGAAAGTTAACGCATGTCACGCAAATATCGTATTCCACATACCTGAGCGGGAACACACTCCACAAGTTTAACACGCTCCACAAATTTAACGCACTCTGCAAAGATAACGGGTACCATGCAAACATCGTACTCCACAACACTCCACATATAGTGGCTCTAGGCTATCCACAGGAACAACGCATAACTGAACTTCATCGCCGACATGGCTGTGCCTGGACAATACCCTTAAAATTTGAAATAGGCATGCAGCATGCTCAATCTGCATACCTGTGTGGGAACGCACTCCACGAAGTTAACGCATAGCGTGCAAACATCGCACTCCACATAGTGAGTTCAGGTTACGTACAGGGGTAACGCATACCGATGCTTCATCGCATACCATAGGATGGACAAATACCATAATATACCGCCTTTCAGGGTGCTTCAGCCATTTTAGCTTGGAGTATGACCAGCCTTGGAATATGAGTAAGATTCTGGTAGAACTATATATATCAACTATATATACTGTAATGATATCAACTATATATAGTTTATCTATGGTTTATGGATGTTTATGCTAGATATATCATGATATATCCATATAGTTAATGGATGTTAATGGTGTTTGTTGCAAGCCAACAAACATAAGGTTTGGGGACCCCAGCATGCAGCAATGAATTGGTAAGTCCAACGTGGCATGGTGGTCAACCTGCGTGCCAAGCCGAGATCATGGAGGTGTATACCTTAATGAAGTTACGCATCAAGACCCATTGGAACTCATCACAAGCAACTTTAAGCCATCATAAACCTACTAAAATCTTAGTTTTTTACCTGTGAAACAACTGTTTTCAGGCAGTGGCTTGGTAGTTCACTGTCGCCAGGCCGACACCTCTGTATTTTATGGATGAGATTGACGCGGCGTTGGATTTTCGCAACGTCTCAATTATTGCGAATTACATCAAGGAGAGATGGAGAAACCAAGCAGTTTAGTTTTATTCATGCTTAGGAGTCTTTTGGGAACGAGCTTGGATACACATCAGCCTTCTTACGGAAGGTTTGCTGGAAGTTTCTTTTCAGGGTGGGAATGTGAGCCGGGCCCAGATGACCACCATTTGTGAGGGTTGGACCGGGGGTAGCAGAACCCTTTTCCGCAGGGTCGGGGATGGGATTCCTCGATTTTTCCGGACACCCCAGGGTTCTTATCTTGATTGACACTTATGCAGTACTTATACAAAGCAAACCCAACATGGCCCAAATGTAGGTGAACACGTGCCATACATCAAGCAGACTGTATCAGGATCCCTGAACCTTCTCAGGGGGACTCAGTCAATGATGCACTGTGCAGACCCTCCAGGAACGAACGAAAAATGCTCAGTTCATTGTGATCTCACTGCGAAATCACATGCAACTTGCCTGGAGCGTTGCATTTTTCGAAATGCTGCAATGACAACTATAACTATGGATGATTATGGTCCCATTGTTTTGTTTTTTTGAGAGGTTGGGTTGAAAGCCAATGAGTCTACTGTCTTTTGCTGGGACTTCGTTATATCAAAATTCCTAATTTCAATGGAAGTTCTCGAAATCGCACCTGACCGGTCGAGACCAGCACCAGAGCAGCAGTTGACTCGAGGTTTGAACTGGCCGATTTGCTGGTAGGCGCGGTGATGGGAAGATACAGTAGGTCTCGGGTAAGACTGGGTGGCGAGTAGTTTGAACATGTGTTCCATGTTGTAAACCATGGTAAACCCAATACCATGATCCATCCCATGATGTTACCAGTGCGGGGTTATTAAACAAAGCAAACATCAACTATATATATATATAGTTATTATAATATATATATAATTATAGTTATATAACACAAACATATCCCATTGCTAGGGGTATACCCAATTTCATACACCTCAGTGGGGGTTTGTGGCATTGGCTTTCCCTGGCTCCTAGAAATCCTCCGTCGTTTGTCCAGCATGTGGCTGAATTTCCTATCATTCTCATGGTTATATAAATCAGTTAAATCCGGCTGTTAATCGTCATCCATCATTTTTGATCAGTTCAATCGCGGTTAATCATGGTTAATCATGCTTCATCCATAGTTTTTTCACCGCTGTGCCAATCATCTTAAATTCCTGATCATGTCAAATCAAAGTCAGTTGAATCAGTTCAATCACATCATTTTTCATCCATAAATCATCCATCATCACATTCTCCATTTTTTCACCGTTTCACCCTTGTTGCTTTGCCAGGCATCTATAAGACCTTTGATGTCTCGAAGTCGGTGGCGATCAATCCCTCCAGCTTCGATGTCTCCAGGGAGGAACAGGTTTTCTGGTCAGCAGCGGCGATGGGTTGTGATGTTCATGGTGATTTTCACGTTAGCCTCTGGTTATTTAACATAGCCATGGGAAATGGCCCATAGAAATAGATGGTTTACCTATTAAAACTGGTGATTTTCCATGGTTATGCTAAATAACGAGATGGTAACCAAAATGATGATTTAGTGGGATTCATGGAAGTTTCCTAAACTTGGGGTACCCAAATAGCTGGATGGTTTATCATGGACGATCCTATTAGAATGGATGATGACTGGGGGTACCCCAATTTTAGGAAACCTTCATATGATGATTTATACCAACAAACAGGTTTACCCTCCGGTAATCAAAGGTGGCAAGTGGATGCAATTGGAAATACACTATAACTGGAGGTTTTAAGAGGAACTTCATCCAAGCATAGGTGATTGTCCTGTGCCACGTTTGATTACCAGTAAGTATCATGGGATTTTACCATCAATTGTGAGGTTTACACAACCCTCAAACGCATGCTGATCTGATGGATAGATGATGGTTGGTTGATGATTAATCATAGGGAGTTGTGCTACCTTTTACTGTAAATATAGGGGAATATCGGACTCCATTGGGGAAATCCCTATCAACCAACTAGTAAAAAGAGACGACACAGGGTTTTGAACACTGCTCAGTTGGGTTTGTGAAACATTGGTATTATGATATATGGATTATGGATCCCAGTCTTCAGTTTACCCAGTGATGGATATTATAACTATAACACTGGTATCATTATCCCAATATGTATCATCCAATATGGAGGTTTCCTCAAATGTGGCCCCCAGTCATCCATTTATCGAGAAAAACTCACATGGGGTTTCCACGGATCCAAGCAGCGATGGCCATGATGAAACAGTTGATATTTGGGGTCTGAGACTAGGGGATACTCCCAAAATGTCATGGTATTACGGAAAAGGATCAGAAAGCGCTGGATTCCGGGTACCCGTTTTCAGACGAACTTGAAGATGGAATGCAAGAGTGGTCGCTTGAATATGACATATCACCCTACACTGGGTGGTGCCCCCTAGTTGTAAGTTGGCTTATAACCCTATTCCACAAATCCTATTCAGTGAGCTAAACCAACTTAGCTAATGTTTTGGGGCACGACCAACTGTAGAAACCCTGGTGGAATGTATTGAGCCCACACAGACTCCTTGCAGCATTGTACACAAATAACGCACGTAATCATATTGAATATACAGCAGACTGTATAGTGTATCTGCAGTAAAATAAAAGTATGTACACCAACTAACATTTTGTATTGACTATATATACACATGTCTGTATATATATATACATATATATATATATATGGGTGCAAGTCAAATTAAAAGGTCCGGAACAAGGTCCGGGACCACACCCGTTTTATACCCCCGTTCCATACCTGTTTGAAGGATCCGTTCCATACCTCTGTTCCATACCTCTGATCCATACGTTATGACATATATCTATATGTATAATTATATCTAATTATATGACTATTATATGTAATTATACATACATATATATATATATATGAACATGTGCAATCTGATTTTGCATTTGTACGGACATACATGAGCGCACATACATTCATGAGTGCATACATGCAAGAATACGTTTACTATGCCCAACCCAAGCCCTGTGATTGTGTTGGCAAGTCTGTGCCTGCAGCACTTACAGCTGCTACCTACTTTGTTGTGTGATGGTAGGGATGTGCTTGGCTGCTGCCAGCTGGCAGTCTAAGAATGGATTGCTTGTAACCCTCCCTCCCTCTCAACCTGTGGCAGGTTTGCGCCTGCACCACTTACAGTTGCTGCCCGCTGTGGCACAGCTTTGATGTTTGATGGTAGAGATGCGCTTGGCTACTGCCAGCTGGCAGTCTAAGAATTGCTTGCTGCGTTATTCTCGCTCCAAACTGCCAATTTTGATACAGATGTGCTGCGTGGTGGCAGTGCTGTGTTTCGTTCCAGAACCCGTTCCAGACCGGGACCACCCATGTACCACCCCTGACCACTCCCGGGTGAACAAATGGCAGGCTCTCACATAGACTGCTCCTAAGCCATCCTTTGCGCGTGTGTTTTGGGAGCCTAGAGTCTTGCTATGCTGGGACACAATCTACCCCATAGGGACGTCTGAGTCTTAAGAGTAGGAGGTGGGACCTGCGTGACAGGTCTGAAGCTGAGTGGACAGCTTCACATGGTAGCCAGTGGGTGACGCTGGCTACCGGTTCTGTCCTATCTAGTGCACGAGCAGCAGCCATGCAAGGCAAACCTGCGATGAACAGGTCTACAACAAGGATGTCGTGCAGATGAGAAGCGAAAATGAGCGGCAGCCAGCGTGAGTAGCTTCAACATGCATATCCTTGAGATTCATATTGTATACATTTCATATATATACAGTATACATATATCTATATATAATTAAGTATAGATTATATTTCATCACACTCCAAAGGTCCAGAACAAGACCAGTTACGAAGCCCCTTCGTTCCATACGTCCGGAACACCGCGGAACGTTCCATACACAATTTTGACCCACATCCATATATATATATTTACACATATAAATACATATATATATACCAATACACAGAATATATATATACACATATATATATATATATATGTATAAAGAACGCGGCTGGCAGCCAGGCGGCCAGCGGAAAGCGGCCCTTGCCCATCACTGGATCTACAGGCGATGGGGAGATGTGGCACATGGCTTTAGCCATGGTGGAACCCTAGGGACGTGATAAAGAAAAAGGTTGATTTTCCACATCTATGTTAGTCTACCCCAGGGTGTATATAAAATGATATAAAGATTGATGTTAATCCTAAGTTTGCGGCTTGGGGTTGAAAAGGGTGGATGCCACCAACAAATATGAAGGTTTAACTGTCAAACATTGGGATTCCACCAATAACGGAGGTTAGAACAACACACTTTGAGGGTTGCTCCAACCTACAGCTTTCATCCTTTGCCCAATTTCTCACCCTTGTATTTTCTCCCGCTGGGGGACCCTGGGAGCCTTGATATAGTAGTAGTAGGTTGTATTGCCAATCATATTGACTGGGGGTATCACCAATGAGTTTGTTGGTGGGTTGGCTGGCTGGTTTCCATCAGAAACATCAGATCATTAGATGATGCTATCGAATGTCGAAAACATATGTTTCCGAGGCTCGGGTCCTTCCGATGTATGTTTCATGTTGTGGATCCAACCCCTGTTGACAGACATATGTGGGGCCTAAACCTCCCCAGTCAACTGAATTATCCACAAAATGGCAGTATATGGCAGTAAAACCAACCCCCGCTAATTGGACCATGACGTTAAACACAAACCAGCTCATAGTTTACACGAGGCAGATCAAAGTCAATTCATGCACCAAGTTGTCCGACAGAAAGTACGGTAAAATTTAGCAAGTGGCTGTATAGTTTCAACAGGGTTTGTTGTTTTAAACCTATGGTCACTTAGGTTTCTTTTTCTGTAAAATCCACACAGTATGTTTGTCAGAGAATGAGGTATGACCCCCACAGGAAACATGATGATTCCCCATTGGATTCTTGACTTCCCTATTCTCAGACAAACTTACATTTATGTGCAGGGCGTTCTACGGTCGCCACAATATATCCACCTGGCCTTCCACGGTAGTGACGGTCAAGTTGTTTGTAAGTTACTGTTGGTATCCAAATGGTGGATTGCTGTCCATTTGATGAATAGCAATCAATTGTAATCAAGTTGGATAGCAATATTACGTATATTGCTGTAATGTCCAATTGATAGCTATATAATGTCCATTTGATATTGCTGTCCATTATCAAGTTACTTGAGGATAGTCAAGATTGCAGCTAGTGACAGCTAGTGCACGGCTACGCCGAGGCAATTCCAACGCAAAGAAGCGTGCCAAAGCAGGCGCGGAGACGCTCGGGTATAAATCGCCAAGTCCCAGATGGTGCCGATGGAAACTGCTGGTCCCAGACAGTGGGAATCATGGAAGCATCCGAGCTTCCCGCCAGACCAGTCACCACAAGTGCCATGAATTTAAGTTGAAGCCGACAGATCATGGCAATGGCTGGATGAAGGGTTACATGAACCACCACACATGGATTCTATGTCAAACTGCACATGAAAATC